CGAGATGCACCATCAGGGAGCAGCAGCTTCATCAACAGGACCATTGGGTCCAGGATCGACCAGCTGGACCTCTATGTTTTTTCCAACTGTAGCGTGGCTCAAGCTGAGCTCATAGTGACCAAATGTCTTGCATCTGAGACGGATAACTTCACACAGTCCCAGCCCATTGTACAGCAAGGGTCAGTGACAGTCAACTTGTCTGAGTTAGTTTGAGGTTACCATTGTGCAAAGGAAGGATACTGTATGAAATAGTGTGGAAGAAATACTGACTCTGCTTTGGCTGCACAAGCCACATGTAAAATTGAAACATATCATATAAATTACAGTAATTCTCTTGCACTTTCTTTTCCAGGTGTGTGAATTCTAACAACGCAATAAATATTATTACAGCAGAAAACAATTTGAAGGTTTACCGCATTAATTTGGATGCCCTGCGGTACAGCGGATCAGAGGTGTGTGCTCTCATACAATACGCACATACAACACATTTGCAGTTCACCTCTTCTGTGTAGTCTTTTCACTGTAAATGTCCAAAAACAATAAGCATGGAAGATAAAACTTGATGACTTTGGTAATTTGTGGATGTTGCCTGTTGTGTCAGCATGAAATTGACATTTGTGGTTTGGTGTGAAAGTTCTTGACAATTACTGGGTGGAGTGCCTTGAAAATTCTCCCAGATACAGTATTTTGACATGAAGTAAATTGAAATAATTTTCGTGAACCCTGAACTTTTCCCGAATCACCATCAAATTACTTTCTTCAGTAGTTTATGACCAAATAACAGTAAAACTAATGACATTCCTATCGGCCTCAGCTGCGTTATATTTTTCACTAATGAGCAAATGTTATCATTCTAACACACTAATTTGCAATGGCAACCAAGTTAAATATTATCAGCATTCTTATTCTAAGCTGACATTAGCATTCAGCTTAAAGCATCACTGTGTCTAGGTACAGCCACAAAGAGCCACTAGCATGGTCTTATTCAGACATCCCAAAACTCATTTCAGGGAGATGCCAACACCACAACTTTTGTCAAGTCAGTGATTCATGTCTTTTAAATAGCTGAAGTTGTGAAGTGTAAAAATGTTTTTAAGATGTCACTCTACACTACTAACTCTGTCTACTATATGTATTTTGTGTTGTGCAGATGTATGTCCAATGCACAGTCAATTTGTGCATTGCCACCAGTCCCACTCAGAAGTGCCCTGATCTGTGCTCCACCCGCTCCATTGGCTCAGTGCTGATCAACAGTGTGTTTTCAAGAACCTACACCATCACCTCAGGAGCTGTTAGCCTTGTGGTCCTTCCTCCTGATCCAGACACAACCACACCAACTACAACTACTGCTATTGGTGCTCATGCTCCTACTCCTGCTACTACTTTGGATCATCATATGCCTGTTCCTGCTACTCCTGCTACCGCTGCTCCTCATGCCGCTGCTCCTGGTGCCGCTGCTCCTGATGGTGCTACTACTGCTGCCCCTGATGCTGCTACTACTGCTGCCAGTATAAACATTGCAGCGGCACAGAACAGCACCACTGCACATGGTAAGCTTTCTTTTAAACAAGCCTCAGTCTCTTTGTTTTTTACGTTATAATAATGAAATATCAGTCCACTGACTTGTGAATTACATTGTTAAATGCTAACTGCCAACAGCATATAGAGGGAAACCAAACCACACAATGCTTTGGCCCCCACAAATAAGTTAGAATGTGAATTTCATGGCCCACTTTTATTATTCATGCAATTAACAATAACCTTTCTTTTGAGCCATTAAAAAAAAAATTAATAATTTAAGTAATTATTTGTGTTACATAATTTTACTGTACTGTCCTTTTAATGTCACTTTATATAAAGTAAATGTATACCCTAATGCACACGAGTGAGCTCCAAATACAATTATAACTCTGGTAACTTCTCCTCTTCTCTTGCAGCTCCAGAACAGGCCTCAGCCATGGCAGCAGGAGTAATTTTGACAACTGTCAGCATATTTCTTCAAAGCATCTTCCTTTACTGAACAATGCTACTGTGCAATGAGCTGACACATCTAGCACTACATTTGTTTGTTTGGGGCCTTTGAAATTTGAATTCCACACATTTTTCCACAGTAGACTTTTAGGTGATTACAGTAATTCTCTTGCACTTTCTTTAGACTCTTGGGTATTTCAGAGAAGCAAGTAAAACTGTGCATGTACAGTCAAAAGTAGTCATTGTATCTTTGTATTTCAGCTCATCAGAAGTGATAGGATGCCAAAGGGTGTGCCACAGATTGTGGTTGTGCAGTAAAATACTCTGCCCAAAATGGGACTTTATTTTTAATTTGCTTATATGAGGAGGCCTAATGTTTTTGAGTCTGGGAACTTTGTTGCATGCCATCTTCCTGTCTTTCCCCTCACCTCCTGTCAGCATACAATGTTATTGGAATATTATGATGGCTAAATAATGAAATTCAGACTGTGTTGGTGGGTGTTCATAAGAGCAGGAGATAACAAATACTCTCATACGCCTTGTGTATAAACTCCTGGTATAATAATGTATATGATATTGAACACTTCAAACTGAGTCTTGTGTTTTGTTTAGCTGTTGTTGCAAAGCTGTACTGGTTGATGATAAAGAATGTAAAAAATACTACACATTAAGAAGAAGCCAGTTTGTACAACAAAACAAAGTATTATTTTGAAAGGTGGAGCATCTTTTTATACTATATAACATATTAGTTTATTTTCTTAATCATTGACATTATTCCCATAATGCACAGAAAATGTTAATACCTATACTGCTACTAATGCAAATATTTATTATAGAAAACTTTTCAAAAACCAAGTTACAAAGCCTTTCACATAACAAACAAAACCCAACCCAACATTTAAAAATCATGTTGAATAACCTACTGGTAACTTAATTAACCTAGCATGAATGCACACCTAAAATACAGGTGCTGGTCATGACAAACTAAATCAAAATGAGAAAAATGACTGAACACTGAAAGTTTACATGATATATGTAATATATATTATAGTGGACATTTTGATCCATCAGTTTTCTTTAAGGCATGTAAGAGATTAGTAAGTCTCGCAAGTAAGTCTTACAAGTCTCTTACATGCCTTGAAAAAAATACCGATGGGTCATTTTTTTAAAAACATGTAAGCTTTCAGTGTGTGGTCATTTCTCTCATTTTTATCTTAAAGATGACAAACCTGCAATGTAAACCAAAATCCATCAAAATGAATTAGAAAATTCCATAATAAAAATGTTAATAATAGAAGACAACTCCATATGTTTGATAACAGCTAAGTGTATAAAAAAAAAAAACTATGAAAAATAAAATACCCCTCCACAACAAATGTACTAATTATAAATACTCGTATAATCAGGTTGAAGGTGTGTGTGGACTAATACTAACCATCATTTAACCTGAATATGGAGCTTCCATGCTCACCCATTCTTTGGCACATTTAATGACGTATTGGTAACTACTATCATAGAAAGCTTACACCTGCAAATATTCACACTTGAGCTGCTGTTACCAGTGAATTTGTCTGTATTTTTAACCAAAAGTGCTAAAACAGTGAATCAGCTATCAAAACTGTTGCCATTAATTTTCAGTAAATTGGGTATTTCAGCTACACAGTAGGCTGCTGATTAGTTGCTGGTGCATGAGTAAATAATGAAACTGCTGTTTATAAAGGGGGTCAGTAGGCGCCCAACAACTTTCCCTGGGTCCCCCCCTAGGAGGAACCGGAAGACCAACATGTAGGGTGTGGCGTAGACAGTGCAGATAAACCTGCACTTGGCATGACCATAAACTAACTTGACGCTTTTAACTAGAAAGATACTGGCTCACTGCATTTACAGTACTTGTTTTTATAATGGAGAGCTGACCAATCCCCGTTCACACTGGGAGGAGACTAGTCCGCCTTCAGGACACGCCTCTATGTTCAAGGAACACCGCTTCATACATACACTGTTGTTAGCGACGTAGCCACTACGGCCAATTTCATTTTTGACATTTCCATTTGCAACCACTCCTCAGAAGTTCACTTTTTTGTCACAACCAGGCGAATGTACGGGTGGTTTACTGGTTGGACAGCGCTACACTGGTGTCTGAAGTTGTTGCTGGCGGCAGCCCTGCGAGGTAAGTTAAAACAATGTTAGCCAGTTAGCCGAAGAAACATGTAACGTTAAGCTACCAGTGAGGGTTTTTGTTGTGCTAATGTACCATTTACTTAGCCGCTGCATAGCTTTAACCTTGCAGAACAAACCAGATAAGTTAACACTAGCTGCTTTTCTGTTACGACTTTACATTTTGGTGTTTTCTTTGTGCTCGAGCTAAACAAAGTGGGATTTCAGAAGCGATTATGTTACCTTGCGGAGTCTATAACTTTGTCAAGCTAGTCTCTATAGAGGCTGCTATGCTAGCAGCGGCGACCATGAATTAGCTGACATGCTAAAGCTCAGCAGACCAATGTGACAGCACGCATTTAGTTTTAGTTTGTTTTTGCTATAGCAAATTTCCCTGTCAATGTCAGGGTTGTTATGAGAGAAACGTGACTGACAGAGAAGCCGTTTGTATGACCGCTGAGTATTTTACTGTTGAACTTCTAGCGTAACTTAACGTCAATGATGTATAAGCTAATGTTAGCTTGATGGCTTGTTAGCGTTCTTCCTCACCAAACCAGCTAGCAGTGACAATAATTACCGACCGTCTAGCTTCATATACCCTGGTGTAAGGATATGTTACAAACTAAAAACCCGACTGTGTTTTCGCGTTATCAGCTGCATTTTCCTTTCGACATCTACCTAACTGAAACGGTAACGTGAGTTAGCCAATATGTTCAGTTCATCTGGATGTTTAAGCAAAGTCGCGTTTACTTAGGACTGCCAGCAAGGACGTGACAGACACTAACCCACACTCAGTGCTTCTTTCTGTCAGCCCGCCTTTAGTCTGCAGACAGTAAAGGTTAGCTTGCTTGTCACATAACTTCGAGCTCGGACGAAAGCCAACGCCAGCCATCATCAGACAAGCGGACAGCTCACTGAAAACCGATCGCGTTTTAAGCTCTGTGTTTGGCAGAGGGGGAGGGGACGAGGCAGGGCTACAGCGAGCGAGCGAGCGTACGTGCGAGAGAGAGCGAGACAGCGCCTCATGCCTGCGGAGGGTTGGCTGGCACATAATGTTAGCTTTTTGTAGCGATATTCAGCAAATCTCGCCGCTTTTACTGTCTGCCATATTTACTTAGCGTTTCAGCAAAGAATATTTGATGCTGGATATGCTACAGACACGATCTCGGCGACTGAAGACCGAACGCTCAACCACCATGTTTTCGGAAGTCGGTGTTGCTGGGCAGTGAGGCACAATGTCTGCTCTCCACTGAGCAAATGCAATGACGCTTGCTTAGGGACCATCAGTCAATTAGTTATCTGTATTTTTACGTGTAGAGTGTGCTGAGCCACATAGAGCTTAAATGCGTGTTAGCCATTAAGTCATCGTTATATAAATAAATAAATGAACAGATAAAAATGTCAGCACTTGGAGGTAATTCATGTATAGATAGCCCAAAGGAATCTTAATCTCAGGTGCATGGGCAAAAATGCTGATGATTCTCCTAAAGTTGATTTGTTGGCCCAATAAATCAGCTTTGTGAGCATTACTGGTGTGCAAGTTTGTCTTTTTTTAATGTTATTCATTTATTTATTTATTTTGATGCTTATAGTTTCAGCCTGCTCCACTGTAACAAACACCACAAGTTTAATATTAGACTAATCCATAGGTAATAATATAATGATCAACAATATAACATTCAAGGTGACTGTGTCTTTGCATCACAATCATATTTATTTATGGAAACAACCAAATTTGACCAAAGTTATCTGGGTCTAAACAAGTTGATTAATCACAAGATCCACATAGACAGAGGCTAAATGTCTTAGCTAATATGTAATCATCAAATTGGGTTACTTTTTTTATGCATTGACTAGCATAGCAGTGGATCATATTTTTCAACATCTCTGTATTGTTCTCACTAATAATAGCTAGATTATTTTTTAACAACTAAACTTTATTAGAAATGTTAGACTGTGCTAAAATCAGCATGTGCAGCCAATGTAGGGTAAATGTTTTAAACTTAAAATAAGATTTTATTATACTATCAGTAAATGTACTTATGTACCAATATCTCAAAGTTGATGTCTGCAATCAGAGTTGTGAGTCCCTTGTTGTCTTTGTAAACTGAAAAGTAGAAGCAAACTGTGGTGTGTGTGTGAACACAAAGCATTTACTGGGACCAAATAAAAGGGTAAGACACAATGGTGAAAACTGATTGTAGAAATGGATGGATTGTGCTTGTTAAAAATTATTTCTTTTATAGTACTGAAGAACCTATGGACATCTGGTGAATGATATGCACATTGAACATCCATCCATCCATTTTCCATACCGCTTAGTCCCAAACGGGGTCACGGGGGGCTGGAGTCAATCCAAGCTAGCTGCGGGTGAGAGGCATGGTACACCCTGGACAGGTCGCTGGTCCATCGCAGATCTACATTGAACACTTTGATAATTATTCATCTATTCCTCTGTATTTATGTGCTTCTTAGATGCCTCCAAAACTTTTGACCGAGTGAATCACAGGAAATTATTCCAGAAACTGTGTGACGCCCAAGTTCCTAAATATATAGTGAGATGTTTGTCATACTGGTATGCCCACCAGACTATGTCTGTTAGATGGGATAACTGTATATCTGCGCCTTTTCAGACCGATAACGGCGTAAGACAAGGTAGTCTGCTTTCCCCAATTTTGTTTAATTTTTACATGAATGATCTGTCTAAAGAATTAAATATGTGCAGAACGGGATGTATGGTCGGTGACAAAGTTGTGAATCATTTAATGTATGCAGACGACCTTGTGATTTTTAGTCCCAGCTCAGCAGGTCTTCAGCAGCTCTTGAACGTGTGCTCAATGTTTGGGGAATGTCACGATGTCAAGTATAATGCTGTCAAAAGTGTCATTATGATATGCCGTACAAACGAGGACAGGTCCCT